TCTGACTCCTTTTGCTGAATCATTTTAGAACAGAAGTCAGGAATTTTCAGGATTTTAAAGCTATATCTATACATGCAAAAAGTTAAAAAGACCCTAAGAAATAACCCCCAAAAACCTCCTCCTCCTTGGGGATTAAAAATATCATTGTTGTCAAGAGGAAATCTGGACTGAATAAAGGCAGGGAGGAAAGACTGAAGTAGGTTTTATATTGTATACACAGAGTATAGTACTGTAAGATTAAATATGTTCCCGTTTCTATTTACATCAAAGGAAAAACATTCTTTGGAATGCAATTTTGCAGGATCAGGACCAGAGATACATAGGCAGGCAGGACTGTGATAAAATATGGAGTCAAATGATAAATTGTATTTACTCTGCACTTGTGACCATCTCCCCTGATTGGCTCACCAATCTGTCTTGCTTAGGGGTCATTTTGACATTACAAGGCATAAGCAACTTCAAATACATTCCAATTTCCTTTTCTAAGGCAACATGCCATGTCCTCTCTTCCCAGAATTATCCTAACCTAAAACTTATGCCAAAAAAGTTTCTCTTTTACATTAAAGACAGTTCTAAGGATCAATATTTTATCACTCCTTCTGGATAACAGGTGTGGGTTCATACATACAAAGCACATAATTTCTGAATTTTGGTAAAAATTAGACTAATCATGATTTCAGTATGCAAAGAAAATATTTAGAAATTTGCCAAAATACTATATAAGTTTAAAAAAGGAAATATATCCAATAAAGTGTATGACCAAGCAGACTGAACATCTTTTGTTAGGTGGTGGAGTGATAAAGCTGGAAATGATACGATAATCCACACATTTTGTCTTTTCTTTGCTTTGAGTGAAAAAATATTCTTCACTTTGTTTTCCTTGCTGTGGCTCACAGACAAAATTCATAACTATTCATGCTACTGTGTTCATAATTCTGTGAAGGTGTTCAGAGGAGCTTTATGTTATCTGAAAATGAAGAATTCCAAATTCCAGATCAGACTATGCACTGGTGTTTGGGCTAACAAATTGGTACGATAATTGTGTAGCTGGAAATCCTGAGCCCTCTGGAAACAGAGTCAGTGAGGACCTTTTGTTCCTTTCTGGTTTAGTTGACTTATCTGTTACAAAGTTGAGATAAACAAGATTTTTGAAACATTTTTCAAAATCCTGTCGGAATTTTATGGGATATTATATCAGCTATACAAGAGGGTATTTTCATACAAAACATAGGCAGGTGTCCATTTCAGATTAACTTTGTGTGTGGACCTCATGAAGGTTTACCAATAAACTTTTTCTTCATAAAACAGTATGTTGCCTTTTCTTACTAGCTTTACATATAACACTGTAAAGCAGTGTTAATGTCAACTTTTAATACCACTTTATGCTGGATAAAACCTGTATGTTATAAACTTGGTTACTTCCACAATATAATGTTTTAGCTTGTCTTTGCCACTTTTTAGCTAAACATGAACTTTATCTCTGCTGTTGGGCTCAAAAATATGACTGGAACATACAAAACACAGAATCAGCTGTGGCTTTGCTATCTGAGAAAATATGTACAACACTATGCAATAACCTACATTCTTTCTACCCATGGTTCATAAAATTCCATGAACACAGAGTGTTTTATAAAGGTGAGTACAGTTAGATTGCATAACAATATTCAATTCTCAGTGGTGCCACTACACATTTTATCTGTGTGTAACTGTATGGTTTAAATATGTCTTGGTTGAAATCTATGATTTGCTTGCCCCTCTTTTGTTTTCCATTCTGATAAACTGGCTACTAAAAAGTCTGCTGCTTGTAACAGGAGGTAAATGACACCCCAGAAATACTAATTCCTAAAAATGGATATTCTAAAATGACCTGAAAATTAAATTTTAATCCTATGATTTTAAACACCGTCAGTTTAAAACTGGGAGAGTGTTTCACTCTCCATTGATGACTTTGATGTTGAGATTCCTTTTGAAATTCCTTTCAAGCATTCTTTGCACTTATGCACACTAGTTTCTTTGTTTTCACGCAAATTCTGTCGAATTTTGGACAATGGACAACTTTGGATAATTTTGGACAACCCATTCTGGACAATGTTAAAGAGAACTTAAACGTCTCAGATTCCTAACTAAGATGTAAAGGTCAAAGCACTGCATAGTATATTCTGGAATTAAGGTCAGTTGTATAGGACAAGTGGTGGGGCAGGGGGAAAATATAATACTCTTCTTCCAATTCTATAATAGTTATCATATGTTTAATTATATTTAAAGTAGTGTTCATGCAACAAAAGTTAGGTGCTCAGATATTATGAACATGTTTTTGTTTTCTCTTTCCCAGGCTTCATTGAATGAGAACACAGAAGTGACCATGTCAGGTTTGTGTTATGGCAGCCTTTTACTGGTCTAGGAAGAGAAGCCATTAATTTCAAAAAAGAAAGTAAGCTGCTAGTAGTCTAGTAAAAGGATGCCTTCCCTTTTGCAGTTCACTTCGGTGAAAGAACTAGGCTTTTCATTCTTGACATTGTGCTGATATAAGGGTACTTGACCATGGTCATCACTTAACAAGGTGTTGTTAAGGACCTAGTGAATTGCTGCTTCTAATAAATGCCTGTCTAGTTTATCAGCTAGGAGGTGGAGGACTGAGACGATGAGATAGCAGATATTTCAAGCAGCAGGTTCATTCCACAAAACATTATTTGTAAAGCAGAAAGCTCAGTTCTAGAAACTAAGGAAAATTAAATGCGTGACTCATGCTTTGTCTCTGAGAATACTACCAAATAGTCTTGAAGCAGGGGCATGTATATCTGGAAACTCAAGAATTCACGAAAAAAGATACAAAACACATCTAAACAGTATGAAAATATTATATACAAAGTATATAAGGATTTAAGAGCATTGAACCCCTTTGCCAGTGTGTTCAATAACCCATATTTCATTTCCTCATTGGTCCTTTACACAATGATAATGCATGCTGTAATGATAATGTGTTATTATATGAAGAGGTTCTGCATGTTGTGAAGGCCTTATTCATTTTGCATAGAAAATTACAAAATATTCTATATTTGTCTGACCAGTTATTTCTAGAATTCAGAACTGCTCATTAAATTTGCTGAATGTCTTCTGTAATATTTTACAAAAATTATTTCTGCAGCAAACCAAAAGTTCTACTCCTAAAAGACAAAACAAACAATAAACCATCTCCCATACTACTTTTTGCATTCCTTTATCATTCCTATATCTTCCCCACAATGCTGTTTCCTCTGTCTTTTCCTTCATATTATTATTTCTTCAAAGAACAGTCCTTGCAGATCTGGTGGGGTTCAGATAATGAAAGAGTAAAGAGAAAGCAAGCATGAACTTGTAAGACATTAGTGCAACCTGGTTTATTGCTAAATATATAGGACTAACCTTACAAGTGTTCTAGAAATCCCCACCAGCACCACCAGAAATAAATGTATGAATGACAGACTGCTCCATAAAATCCTGTAACTAAGCTTAGAATCTTTGGCACCAACCATAAATTCAAAGTGTGAAATGGGATTAGTTCATTCCCAGTGAATTAGTGTCTGTTTTAATAGGGTTCTAAATACATAATCATATAAATGCCAGTAAGAAAAATCTTAAACAGGCTTTTGCTGTGCAGTTATTTCCAATGTAGACTCGGGAAACCAGCCAGGTTCATTCACCTTTGGGAGCAATGCTTCAGACTTCTCCACAGTTGGACTTCTGTCTAACATTCCAGGCAGAAAAACAGACAGGTCATGGGTTTTATCAAGCTTTGTCGGATCTTTAAAGCATCACAACTTCCTTAATTTTTTCTGTCTCACTCTTGGATTTTTGTAGAGTGCTGATGCCAAAAAGAGAGCCTACAGAAGGTGTTTGATTTGGCCCATAGCCAATTTCTCAAACTTAGTAGGACATCTCATCCAGAGAGTGATACAGTCCTTTACAGGTAGAGAAAACAAGCTTCAGCATTCTTGGTTTCTTGAACTTGAGCCAGAACTGTCTGTGGCTATCTCGGTCAGCAGGATGGTGTTTTACTTAAACAATGCACTTCAGAAAATCATAGACTTTGTTTGGACAGTTCAAAACCACTGTTTTCTCTTGAAAAATTGTCTGAGGCCTTAAGTTTTCAATCTATGTGAGGCAGTCAGAAGAGCTCTTTTGAGCTGCTTGAAGTCCTAGTGTACACTGAACTTTGAAATGCTGTGTTCCAAAATAGTTAAGCATTTGATTTCAGCCATAAAGTGCACTGAAGTTCAGACAGAGCTAATGTTTTATCTATGGCTTGCTCCTTTTTGTTATATTTTATCTCATAAATATATATTCAAGCTCATCTGTATTTATACATTCAAATCAACATTAGAAAGTCTTCAGAAAGGAAATTCTAAATTACTATTAATTTCCTGATTATAAGTAGTGGGGGAGGAATCTAGATTATATATGTATCCCAGAGAAAATGAAAGTGTGTAAACAGCCATCTGAAGTACCTGATTTTTATTTCTGTTTGAACTAGTACATTATGTCTTTGTAAAGCAAATATTTTATTGACATTAAGCAAGTGAGCTTTGTGATTTAACCATTTAAGGGGGGAGGAATAACTAGTAGAATGACAAGCAAAATGACACAAACTAGAAGTTAAAAACTATTTTCATCATTTTCTAACTAAGATTTCTGAAATATTTTTATACACACAATTCAGCTCTATTTCTATTTTGCAGTCAATTACTATGTGAATATTTAAACACACACACTGATGTCAGGAAAACAGTCCAATGAGAGAAACATTAACAATTACTACGGGTACTACAAGAAGGAAATTCTAAATTACTAAGCCCTTGATTATAAGTATTAGGGGAACAATCAGATTCTAAGTGTTTTCTCCCCTAGAAACACACTACACATATTTTTACACAGATATCCAGGGCAAAATTATAGATTAAGAATTAAATAAAAGTCTATTTCTTTATAATAATTGGAGAAAACCTGTTATATCTAGTTGCAGGTATTAAAAAAACAGTCCTAACCACTGTGAAATTACATCTGAAAGTCCTTATTTCTGTCCCCTGGCTGAAGAAGAAGCCTAGTATGCATAGCTCAGGTACTGAAATCAACAGTGTTAGGTAGGTGACATGAACAAATTTGATCCTTTACTTGATTTCAAAATCAAGGAAAGTTTTGCCAATTTAAACACATTTTGGATAAATGTTTCTTTTATCAACAAATTCCTATAATGACTGTATTCAATTGTTCCATTTTTTAATTTAAGATATGAGGTATAATGTCACCAATAAAATAAAAATTAACCTGTAAAAGAGGTTTTTACTGAGAAAATATTAATGCTTTCTATCAAATACCGTCTCTCACTTTATAATTCTCTTCTAATAAGGTTATCATCATCACACATCTTCTGTTTTTGAGAAATTAAGAGAAAAAAATTTGCTTTCCAGTCATGGAAAGACTAGCAGTCTTCACCAGTCCTTCTAGCAGACATGATATAACAGAAATTCAGAAACAATCTTGTCGAAGTGATTACCTTTTTGCAAGTGAAATTCTGGGTCTCAATGTATCCTACCAAGAACTTTATTTTGATGAAAATTTAATTTACCACACATTTCTCAATGGAATAATCCTTAATTATTCTGAAACCCACTATTAATCAAAACACTCATTGTCAGCATTAATTTTTTTACACATTTTCTGATTTGGTCTGCTCCAAACAAATCCTTCAGTATATTTCTGAATTCCCAGCTTCCACCAGCTGTTTCTACCACAAGTGACAGCTGGATAAACTAATAGTATGCCACAAAGAATAAGGAGCTTATTAAAGTTGTACTTTCTTTTCTTGTGTACAGTAGCACTGTGGAGGTTCCCTAGGCTATGTAATGAATAAATCAAAATAATCAAACGAGGAAGGAATTAAGTGCATGTGAAAGCTCATGAAAAGAGAGATCCTCTGAGATTTCCCAACCAGTCTCAACCTCCGGAGTTTTCAGATGTCCCAGGGTCTCTTTAATCCCGGACTCTCAGGCTTTACCTATTTTTTCTAGCATTAGTCAAACTCTATGTTTTACTTTTAGTTAGAAAATGAGACTCTGACATATGTTGCAATTAAAATATCAAGGTAAATAATTTCTCACCCAGTTCATTTATCCTTTGACAATGTTTCAGATTAATACCTCTAAATTATTATCTCTCATCAAAATTTCAATGTGCAGCGAATCATTTATTTTGAGAAGTTTAGAGATATCTGTAGTGATATGACAGATTTAAATTTTCACAAATATAATTACATTCACAAAAGTCCAGATATCAGATTTCAGAAGCCATATCAAGCTCAAGAATCTGCAAAACTGCTGGAGAGTAAAAAAATAGAAACAGAATAGAATAATAGAATCATTGGGTCATAGAAGTAGATATAAAAATTAACAGGTTATGCTAGTACACTAGCATAACCGTGATCAATTATTGTAATTATTGTAATATTAGATGACTTTCAGTGGCTTACAGGCTTTAAAGATGTGTATTACTGTGTAGCTATTGCTTAATTGCTTTAAAGAAATATCTGAAAGGATACAGCTATCCTTTTAAAGAAAAGGAAAAAAACCAAGGATAAATTGACATCAAAAATATTCTATATGGACCAAAGGAGGTGTTCAGCTCTATAAGCAAATCAATTCCATTTGTTTTCCTTTCCACTAATGCATTTTTAATCAAAGTGTACTGCATTCTTACAGTTATTAATGATGGAGAACATTTGGTGCTACATTTAGCTATGAAAGAAGTTAGATGCTTCAAATGAAACCTGAGAGACAGCAAACTGAATTGCAGAGGACACAGAAACAAGCTATGGCATTAGAAAATAGAAAAGAAATCATAAGTGTCTTTCCATATGTTTTGTCATTTACTTAGATCAGATCACAGTCCCCTCCAGTGAATTGAAGAGGTCTGAATAAAGCTGAAGGGCTGTACTAATAAACTAAAAAATACAGATATGAAAGGATAAAGAATACGAAATGTGAGAGAGCTGTGAAGGAAGGGAAAACATTCTTCCTCGGGCAATACATAACACAATGAATAAAAGCTGAAGAGGACACAGAAATGACAGGAAAAAGGAAACAAAATATCAGGTCACTGACAATGCAACACACAATGTCTGGAGAATATCACAGATCAAAAAAAGTAAAATTGAGTCATAAATTGATTTGACACTGTTGGTTTGCCTTTAATACTAAACCCACAAAGAGACCAAAACCATACCTGGCATAAATCAGTGATGGTTGGCTTGGATTCAGGTATCTCCAATTTTCTCTAAGGAACATTCTGAGTCCAAGGTTTTGGAAAAGAATTAAGGATTTGAAAATAAATAGAGATGCAAACAATTTGGATTTTTCATTGCAGCAATCATTCAAAAAAAGTGATACCTTAATATTGTCCATGACTTTGAATGTGAAAAAATACTCAGTGTTTCTAGTTTTTAAAAGGACAAGAAACTAATTCCTGAGAAGAGAGGGCAGGATGCATGGCCCTTGAAGACAGACTTCTTTAAAATTATTTTGGTGACTTTGATGTAAGTGTAGGAACCACTGAAGACATACCTTGCTCCTATCTCTAATTTTTACTTGCTAGTTGCCTGAAATAAATATAAAAAGGACAGCTTGCTCTCAGTCTCCAAAACTGAGTGTCACTGAGCACTGAGAGGGTGATTCTGATTGTGGATTCTCTGTAACTTCACTTATATCAAACCAGAGCCACAGTACCACAAACAGCACTATTGCACTAGTGCACCAAATTCAGTCACAGAGCAAGATGTAATAAAGAACAGCTATTGACAGTGAAGTACCAACTTTCAGGATAAGTTTCCTGATGTTTTGCTGTCTTCAGTTTCATTCAGTTTTCAGGTTTTTTTCAAGCTGTGGTACTTCCTGTTTTTCTTGCAATAGCTGCTTTTCAATCTGCAAAGTCTCACCAGGACCCTTTTCTTTCCTTTGCACAGACCAGTAGTATGGAAAGGTTCAAGTGTCGTGTTTTGTCCACTCATAGCAGTAACTCCACATGTGCAATCTTTCAGTGCTGTACTGATGTGATTGGTGCAGTCTGGTGCACAAACAGCCACACAACAAAACTATTGCACTGCAAACTCACTGCAGTCCAGTCTTCAGCAGCTCTCCCACATACAGCTGAAAGATTCTTCTATCCAGCAGCTGCCCAGAAAAGTCATCAGCATCCTACTCTGCCTAGTATGAAAACACAGAATTATATTCCATTCTATAGAATATATTATATTCTTAACAGGCATTATTCCAGACTGCCTTTTAGAAGGTTGTTAACACTGATTAACAATAAGTGACTGTATTTTTAATAAAAAAAAATGATGGAAACCATAATATTTGTAAACAGGTAACCAGGTTAGAGTTAAAATTGTTAAAATAAATTTTTTACAAACATAAAACTCAAAATAATAATTTCAAAATTGGTCTTACTTATATCTCTGAGAAACCCTACTCTCTTTTGAATAGTAAGTTCATTTGTAAAATTCACCCTTTTTTTGCTACTACTTACACCATTTCACTGAAGTTCGTAAATATGTAAGATGTCTTGGTGTCTATTTCCACTTTTTACAGTGTATTTCAAACACTGTTTTTTAACTCTGGGAATAAAATAAAAGCATGAATGAAATTGTAGCAATTTCATCTTGAATCACATTCTTGGTTCAAGATTTGTTGATCAACTGTTTTAAACTTTCAGGTGTTTAGCTGAGTAACTGTGAAGGTTTATAATTTGGAAGTGAAGGATGCCTGTGCAAAGCTCTTGAATGTCTTCCAAAGCAATGTGTTTAAACTGACTCTTTTCCTAACACAGGTCTTTGATCACTTGCTGGTGAGGATATAAAAGGTAATAAATGTATCTTCCATCTGTTGCTGCCGCCTGCTTACCTCAAAAAAAACCAAACAAGGATAGAATTCTAGTATTGTTTCCCCCTGTGTAATAATATAAGTTAAGCTTTTATGGAGAATAAAGTATTCACAAATGGAGGATATGGATCCTCCATTTCATCACTTAGATCTTTCAAGGGAGAGTCTTGGACTGAATAAATGAATGATAAGGAAAACATTCTTTTTATGAGTTTATGGGACAATAAAAGTTAAATAATATGCTCTCTTAAATTCAAATCTTATTTTATTTAGTTTCAGCTTGCCCGATGCTTAAGTAGATTCTTTTATTTATACACTGAAGGGTTATTCAGAATAGTTTCACCTTGAGGAGGACCAAGCAGTGGAGGTTGCTCAGAGAGGTGGTGCAGTTCCAATCTTTGAAGGCTTTCAAGACCTGATTGGACAAAGCTCTGAGCAATGTGGTCTGCTAACATAGCTGACCCTGCTTAAAGCAAGAAGGAGAGATGGAGAGACCCTGAGGTCATCAGGGTCATTTTTCATCAACTTTGTGAGCCTGTGAATTGTCCATAATGCAGTGTACACAACAGTTGCAACATCTTTGCATTTAGGACAAATCTCCCATTCCTTCTTTAAACAAATGAGTTAACTGGAAGCCAGAATAAGTTACCTTTTAATATCCTGCATGATTTAAGAAGGACAGTCAAGATTCAGAGCTACCTATAAGATTCAATTCATGTTGGCTTACTGGGGCACCTTTCCTCACTTCATTTTTTAGTTTGCTGCGTTACATTGGTGACATGGTATTTGCTTCAGATGGGAGTATTTTTGATAGACCCATTCCATTATTTCAGCTTTTTTTGGCTCTCCTTTCTCTTTCTAATATGCTCAAATTGTACTTTGTTAACTTCTCTCATCTTGTCCATATAATTCAATAAGATTAAACTGATTAACTTACACGTATCATTTGAGTTCAGCTACTGGACATAATTCAGGGTTTTACATTGTTCCTCAAAAGGTTTGTTTGACTTGAGTTTTTTTGACATTCAAAGAAACAATTGGAGACAGGATGTCTAGAAAAAGATCCAACTTTAACAAGTCAGCTTATGTCTTGATGCTGCAACTCAGCTTTCTAATTGCTGCAAAGTCCAAATGGTTGGTCCTGGTTAATTGATACCTTTTGTTTCAATACCATAGCTTAACAATATTCTGTTACATTTGTAACAGAACATTATATTTATATTTATGTTTATATTTATGTTCACTTCTTCCCTGCCACAAAGAACATCATTGAGCATTACACTGAAATAGTACCCTAAAGCAGTTTGTAATGAAATATTCCTGTGGTGTGCAATCAAATACTGCTACAAACAGGTAGAACTACAATAACAAGAACTTACACAATACAAATTATTATTCAGCTCAGGCAAAATCTCTTCTCCCCTCTGAAGTTTACTTGGTTCAGAGTGTTTCTTCAGTAGACACAGTACTAGATGATTAATATATCAACCTCGCAGAATGAGAGTTGATTTAGTTTTGAAATACATGAAAGTTATACAAATGTTTCTGCCTTAAACTCTTCATTTAACATTTCCCCATATGGCAGATGAGCTGCAAAATCTGGTGCAAAGATTCTTATTTATTGATGTATTTCATTCCACAAATGGAATTTGTAGCAGGTGTGCTTGAAAGTCAAGGAAGCATGAGGAAAGCAAGTAAAGTCTATATGCTGCAAGCCACATAATGCCAGTTAATTTCCAGTGTTTACTGTAGAACAGATTTCATAAGGTTGTAGACAAAATATATTGGAAGATTAAAAACAGATAGTCCATTCTTTTTGAAGAAATCCAAGTGAAAAAAAAAAAACCAAAAACCAACAAACAAAAAACAGAAGAGAGGATACAATTAATAGAATATTTGTACATTTTTATAAAACATTGAAATATCTCTTCTATAATAGGAAAAAATAATCTGAAGTGCCAAAGCTCTCTCCTTTCTTTAATACTATTCTCAAAGTTGTGTTCAGATAAGCTGGGTTGGATGGGGCTCTGAGCAATATGGTCTGGTGGAAAGTCTCTGGCCATAACAGGTGAGTTAAACTAGATGCAGTTTAAGGTCCCTTCTTACTTAAACCATTATATGATTCTGTGGTTCTATAGTTGCAATAACTTTACATTCACAGACCAAAATATGAATCTTCAAAGTATTAAAACCACAAAAGATGTCATAAGGTTAATTTATACCTCTCATATTAGTGACATCACACACCAGGATCAATCTGAAAGATTTTAGATGAGTTTTCATGGCACCCAAGTTAAAGGTTCTTGTCCTCCTGAGAAAACTTTTTTCTGATTATTCATGGAGCCTTTGAAAACTAGCTAAGCCAGTTGATATTTTAAGCGTGCAGCACTTATCATTCCAGCACCAAAGATAGGCTTGAGTGAGAAAGCAAGTTGTATTTGTAGCTTCATTATCACTCCAGAATTTTGCTATCTTCAAATCTAGTTTCACACAAAGCAAAATATGCATTAACCTCACATATGAATTGTGATTGCCAAAATGTGCTTTAAGAGTGAAATATACAATTCAACACAGCTAGAAGATTCATGCTGAAGCAATCTTTCTTCATATATTGTAGCTGGAGTCAGCTTTGAGTAAGAAAGTGAGTTGATTGAGAGGCCAGTGGGACCTGAGGAAAAAAAAGAAAAAAAGTAGACATCTGTGCTTGTCAGCCTGTATATAAGAGTCAAAAACCAGCACAACTGAGTTTGAAAACAGGGGACCAAGTTATGAGAAAACTTTGTTTTCATTATGTCCAACCTCCTGCTCCCCACTAGTGTCCTATCTGACCTCCGATAGCAGCACTGATGTAGCTTTCACAGCCTCCCTCAGGAGTTTAGCCATTTGGCTCATACAGTTCAAAATCTTTTCTTAATGTCTAGCCTAAACATTTCCTTCCTTAGCCTCAGGTCACTGATCCTTGTCCTACATCTTCTGAGACTGTGAATAATTTCCTGCATTCAATTTCTACTGCTGTATTGAAGGCACGAGATTGAGAAAAAGACAGGAAAAAAAGAGTAAAAAAGGTCTCTCTAGTCCAAATCCACCCCTGCTTCAGCTTTCCCACAGATTTTGAGTTACAGCAGAATTATCAAGGTTTTCATACTTTCAGTTTTATCAGAAAGTTGGAAAGATCAGCCTATTGTATAGTACTATTAAAGTAACACTCGCTGCCTTGGATTAAACAAAAACAATCAATAGATGAGGCCCATCAAGCACTGACAAGGAGCCTTTTCCTTTTTTTCTCTTTCCAGTTAATGGAGGGGAGCCAGCCAGCCAAATATACTCCAGTCTAAAAGAGTTTTAAATGAAAAATCTTTGCAATGTAAGCTTGAATACTGCTGTTAAGGCTGAAAAAAAAAAAAAAAGAAGATAAAGTACTATGTCATGAATTTATGTGAAGAAATTAAAATTCATTTCCACATTGTATAAACAGATGACAAACTGGTTGTTTCAAAAAAATAACACAGGGATGAATTGAACTACAAAGCTTAAAGAATTAACCATTTGCATTAGGATGCCAAGGGCTATGGAAATCTGAGTCAGATCACAGAGGCAATGAACCACTGGGCATGCTTCATTATTCATGCCAGTGGACTCACAGTTGGGGAAATACTGTAAAACATAGATCACTAGTACCTGTTATCTCTATCTCCCCCTCTAACCCCCCCAAGAAAAAAAAAAAGAACAAAAGAACAAAAGAGCATTCAAAAATATCACATCCAGTGAGTCTGTGATCCTATGAATTGCAATTAATGAATGTTGGTTATTTATCCTGCATTTTACTTGAAATATTTAATCTGTTGCAAAACTCTACAAAGTACTGGAAGCAGCAAAGAAATTAACCATACCTGAACAGAAAACAAGCTTTCACAGACAGTTGGGCTTCTTATGTTCATGTGATATTGCCTGAGCTCATCCCATGTAGGATAAATGTATCAGGAAAAAAAAAAAGGATGAAAAGTTAAAAGTTTTGGCTTTTTATCCTCAGTGTATTCTGGGGCTGGGGTACTAATATAATTTTATGGCACATGTTTTCTATTGCTTTGGTTTATTATAGTAGATAGCCACTACAGCTAAACAGGGCAAAACATATCACAATTTAAATTTTCATAGAGTGCAGAAACACACTTCATGCCTAATGTTTAAGTTGATATGACAGATAATTTTCCTCCATGAAGATCTGTTATACTCAGAAATTTCAGTTAGAGCTTCCTCACCCATCTCCATCAAGATCCATGGCATAAGTTTTAAAAAAAGAAAGAAAATCCAAACTTATTTCCCCAGCAAACATGAAACTTCAGTGAAAAGAAACTCACAATTAACAATGACAAATCATGTTGAGCTTATGAAGTATACTGCATTTTACATTAAGACTTTGACAGGATTAGATTGATAACTGTTTAAGTGAAATGGGCAGAACTAGAGAGGAAGCATATCAATGCAAACATATTTTGTCCCTGATGGGAAAAAGGATTGAGGTATTTGGGACATTGTCTTGATACTGAATAAAATTTTATCTTTTAAAACATCAGTCTAATAGACTTGATGGCTTTCCATGACACCTGACACCTTACCACAGAAGATTTGAACAGGGCATTTTCGGATCTTGTATAAGAGGTTTACCATTTTAATATGGATCATATCTGCCTCCATATATACTACAGATACCAAAGAGAAAAACATCTCTATTTCTTACTAAGATGAAAATGGCAAATTAACTGTATTGAAACTGCTTTAGGATGCATTCTCAGTTAAGCTGTGAGCAGAATAGAGTCTGTACTACACATATTAAGCCTGTGCATTAGAGACTTTGTCTTTCCTGTAGCTATTCAAAGATAGCTTTATTTTGTTTTGTTTTTCATTTCTATTTTGTGAGTGCTTAAGTTCAAGTTTGAAGAGACAAAACATTTTTCAAAAATCTATCATTTATATTGAGTGTATGGGAACATCTTCTGTATCAAGCTTTTATCATGCACCTCTGCCTCAAAGT